TGGTCTCCCTCCAGAAGGCGTCTGGCAGCTGGATGCTAGATCCAGCTCTAGCTGCTGCACTGGGAAAGACCAGCGAGGAGGTGGAAAAGCCAAAGCCTGCATCGGTGGGTTACTAGTCACTTACTGATTATTGATTATTTATTTAAAAGTAAAATATTATTAAATTGCAGCAACAAAGGGTTAACTAAAATCTTTAGCACTCAAGCAGGAGAAATATTAGAAAACATGAAACATAAAATAATATGGCATCTTTACTGCAAACCAGCTAAACACTTTATAGTTGTACTTTTTATGAGCTGACGATGAATTGAAGACTTTGTAATATGATAATAATAATGTGGATATGATGTCCTGCTGTACTAAGAGCCTTTTGGCTTTCAAATGCACTGTAAATGAATCTTTTCTCCCATTGTGCCTGTTCCATGTGCTTTTGATGGATTTGAATTAGGTCAACAAGGAAGTGTGGGCCACCATTCTGGCTCTGCTTTGGCTTCATGGTTTCAAGATGGATGCTAAGGAAGAGTGGGAGCTTCTGGCTATGAAGGCTACGTCATGGCTCTGTGCTCAGAATGGTAATAACATGATACTAAGTTCTCTATCACTACTTTTAGCTGTGTGTAATGGTTGAAATCAGCAGCTACATTCAGTCAAATCGTATGTATCCTCTGCTCATGACTTGGTTGGTGTTTTTTCAGCACCATGTGTGACAGAGTGTGTGGAAGCTGGAAATTCCCTGTTGGGCTGCAAGGTGCAGAAAGATGCCCTGGGACTCTGAGGGATTTATTACAGGACCAGCACACAGAAGCAGATTTACTCCATCTTATCATGTGTATTTTATCAACACTGCACTTTGGTTTTGTCAATACTCGCATTTAATTATGCATGGTTTGATTTGTACAAGACTTAGCTTTGCACCTTTTTTTTTAAAGTAAATTTGCAAAATATTATATCCATTCAAAGTCAGACATATGACAAGGAGTTGTTCTTTTGCCTTAAACCTTGTTGTCAGGTTGTACATGAATTATTTTACTTGTGACAATAAAACCTGGAACTTGGGTCATGACTATATTAAAAAAATGCCTTTCAGCCTCATGTGAAGGGTGCATAGACACAAACAATACACTACGTTGTATGAAGAGTGCACATGCTATAAAAGTATAATTCATTGTCTCTGTGCCTGACAAATACCTTATACAATAGATATAATCAACAGTAAATTTTCTGATGTGTTATGAAGGTGGGAGATGTCAAATTTATCAAGCTTTGTTTTTTTACAGTATCTCTCTAATGCTTCCATAAGAATTTATCAACAAAAAATGTAGTTTGTGAGTTCAGTTACCTTAATATACATTTTTAACATAATGACTATCGCACTTCTTCAGTATTTGTTATCGGAAGACTTTCACCTGGTCTTTCACTGTCACCCGATGCTCAGTTTGTGTCTGACATGCTGCATATCATAACTACTGGAGTCTCTGTTCTTCCTGTGAGACACTGACAGCAGGTGAGTATAAACATAATTGCAGCAGAGGTTCAGAAACAATGGCAAGGAGTCTCAATAGCTGAGCCATGAACTCTTTTCTTGGTCAGGTGAACGGTGGTGAGTTGAGAACAGGGATGTGGAGATGGTGGTGGAGTGACAGAAGACAGTGGCACTCTGAGAAGATGGCTGACCATTCTAGTGAGCATGCAGGTAAGTATGGTTAGGCCCCTCAGAGGATACGACGGACCAGATGGGAAGGCAAGTAATGCAACGTAGCTCTTCTCACACTACAGCGGACCATCTGCTGGAGTGTTTTCTCACCGATGCCAGCTCCGGATCACAGAATCTATAAGAAGAACTAGCACAAACGTTGGTGGGTAACCTCTTTAGCAGGAGTCTGTGACATCATAACTTAATGTAGTTGTAGTTAATAGCTGAAATGTCTGATTTTGGTTAAAATCAGCTTTATCACACTGATTTTGAACAGTGTATAGTGATACCTTAAATTTTAGTATTTGAGTATTTATGCAATGTTAGGCTATCTTCAGCAAAAAATGGAAAGTCAGAAATCATCTAAAGTGTATGTCGAAATATAAGCTGGGCTTAAATGTTAAAAGGAGAATGCCACCAAGTTTAAACATAGTAGGTTTACTTGTCACGAGGAGTGCTCAGCATGTCAAAGCGACCGTATAATGTGATTTGCATGTCTGCAGAAAGTTTATCAAATCTAAGGGAATAGATGAGGTTATTTCAGGGTCACATTGATTTGGGCTCGGAGACAGCAGATTTTTTAAAGAATGCCTTTGCTAAAAACTGGAGGTGATTTGTTTGCAAAGAGTTAAACTGCATCCATACATTAGGACCTATTAGTTCTGGCTTGCAGAAATAAAACTTTCATCATGATGATAATGAAGATTTTAAGTTTACACTTCACACTGTATATGATATTTTTTGTATGTTGCCAAACAAAGGACAAAATCAGCTCCGCTGAAAGTGTCTAGGGGTGGTTTATTTAGACAGACGATTGAATTGATTTCCTACAGATATAGTAGGACCCACAGGCTCTGGCTCGCCACCATGAGACATGTGCCCTCAGCTCACACCCTGATAAAGACTCAGACATGTTGCTTGTTACTGACGCTCACAGAGACAGATTTAGGCCTATGGGGGACTTGTTACTATGACACATGGTATGCAACAGCCATCGCAAACCAACAGCAACGCAGGCTCCTCCACTTTAAATCCAAAAAACTATACATGCAATTGGTTATCAAGATGTTGTTCCTCGTCAAATTAGGGTTCTGCACTCATATTCATAAAAGTTTGTTGTGTGTTCAGTTCACAGCTGCATTACATTACATGCATTATAGCCAGTCTTATCCAAACCTCTGGCAGACCTCCAACCAACATTGTCTAAACTGGTTTCCAAGGCAACCCCAACTAGCAGGACCAATTACAACTGACAAAGGAGCATTAAACTGCCTGGAGATTAGATGGAAAGAAGACACATCCTCAAAATAAAAACAACAAATGAAAGGAGGGTGCTCTGTGGGTGTGTCTGTATATGACAGTGACTTTGCATCAGCATGCCCCTGTGGGCTCAGCACTGTCAACTGTGGTCTATCCATTAGTGGGGAAAGATTTAATTAAACCTGCTTTCTTTCCTTCCCTTCCCTCCTACTAGTTTCTATCTCTGTAGGATTACTGTGTGTCCCTATGTGTTGTTAGAGTCCCAGGCAAAAAACGAGATCAATAAGAAATAGTTTAGAGTGGCTGAGGCTTGTCTTGTGTGTGTGTGCGTGTGTGTGTGTTGGGGGGGCTGCTGTGTGGAGATCTTGTCCTAGGCATGAGCAAGACACACAGTGGGCCTGGTACAGTGTTACACAGGGAGGTGTTATGTTATATCAGTAAGGGCGGACTAAACATTAGAACCACCTCTGCGTTTATATCTTCATTATCAAAAAAAAAAAAATCACCTTTTACAGTTGCAATAAAAACAGATTAATCTCCACCCTCTTGAAAAACACAAACACATTGTTCGACTTGGATTCATGTCATTTATGAAGGACTGGGAAATGAGAAAGTTCACAAAAGATTATGATGATAATTATTTTTAAACACTAAATAAATGTTACCCCTCCATGTCAGAGCTGCCCCATCACTAGCATCTTTTTTATAAAGTTTGTATAAAGTTTTGTATGTTATTTATTTACATTCTTCTTCTTCTTTATTTACTTTATTGCTGTGCAGAACTTTGGGTCATAGTTGTTTTTAAATTTGCTTAAAAATAAATTGACTTGTGTGTATGTATCAGATGTAAAATGTCAAACAGTGGACCATTAGCGTCAGGCTTACTGCCCTCTAACTGTAGCTCGTCTTCTTTACATCCAGAAAAACTGCTGTTTCCCTAAACTTGACACAGCACAACAAACCCCACATACATACTTAGTAGGCATTAAAACACTTAGTGCTGTGCTTGTGAACATTCACATTACATACAGTCTCACTGCACGGATGAATGGGGCCACAAGGTGTCTCCAAGAAGCCTAAACCCCCCTTAAGGATTAGCATTTGACTTGTGATTTTTTGGCCCCTAGTTCAGATTTTCAGTGGCCTGTTCCTTTGTGCTTTGGATTTCTGAGCTCAGGGCTCTGTGTACTGGAGGATTATGATCCTGTTGGTCAGAGCTGCAACAGACAGAGTTACAAGTCGCACACTGAGACACCACACTCCACCTCTACCAGAGGAACAGCATCTCTGTTACCCCTGTTTGTGCAGAAAACTGGTTGGTGGCTTTAGATACTTGCCAAGTTGTACTTTAGGGTCAGCAAAGTAGGCACATTGATTTTCAGGAATCTCATCAAATTAATCTTGGCATTGCCATTCTCGGGTTTTACAATGGCGTCGGGCCTAATTTTAGCTGATCAGGTAGTGATGGGACTTGACACCTGAAGGATGTGGCCTTCACAGGAACTTGTTGACATGAAACTGGTTGTGGAGGCAGGACCGCAGCTGTGGGGAAGCAGTTACCTGAGTTTGAAGATGTTGCTCAGCATTTACTGTGTGAACCATCATGTAGACGTACATCTTTTTGCTTTAGTTTGTCACCTGTCTGTCTATGACCATGTGAACTACAATTATACACAGGCAATGCAGTTTGGTTTTTAAGACTTTGACTATTTGGAGCTTTAGAGACAATTTTACAGCCTCTTAATTTACATGATAAAAACATAATGCAAACAACATTTATAGATATTAATCAATGCACAGTTTAGTATAATTGTTATTATGAAGAGAAAAAAAATGAATCTGTTAAACAAAGGGATTAGGTGTCAGGGATTGGGAGGCTTCAAAGTACAGATGGATGGGAGGGAGGGAGAGAGCGGTAGTTTATCAGGGATTGGTAGGTCAGACATAGTTTCATGCTGAGGGAGAGTGAGGACACAAAGTTGCAGAGGGTCATTGACAAACCTCTGTGGTGGTGGACACTAATGTTGGAGGAGGCAAAACTGAAAGGAGCTGGATGAGGCTGCAGAGATGTTCTAGGAAGCCATCAGAAGCTTGAGGAAAGAGAGGCAGGACATTGTCTGGGTTCTTGTACAGTTGGGTGACAGAGGAGTGTGAAGCGGGGCTTTGTCCAGGCTGAGTTTGACTGGAGACGTAGGTGTAAGGAGCACTACCGATGTGCTTGTTTTTGGTGCAGGAAGTTCTGTAGGGCTCAGGGGAAACTTTGTCCTCTGTCCCACACAGATCACTCTGAGGGGCTTTGCAACCACCCCTCATAAAGCAACCACCCCAAGGCAACATATACAGTATGTATGAGAACAGTAATCATTTACCAATCGAACAAACGGTGCCAAGTCCCAGGTGTTTGACCTCTTAGCACCTTGAGGGCCACTGAGGTCACATGTGGGTCAATGTCTCACTCGACCGTCACGTGTGTTGACAGGGTCACCCGAGTCAGTATTTGCAGCTAGGTCCTTCTGACTGGACCCTTCTTCGTGACTCGTTATTTTGACTTTTAGTGTAAATCTTGTCTTGCAGTAGTAGTAGAAGTAGTATTAACAAATAATTATAGTAATTTTCAGTTGTGATAGAGACAGTCGGACTGTTTGCATGTCTTATCTTTGAGGCAGATACTGCCACTTTTCTAATCATCAGACCCTGAAGGGTGAGAGATCAGTGACAGGGTCTCTCTCCCAGTCCCAGTTATCAATGAACATGCACCATTCAAAGGCAAAACACACCACCCCCTCCTCTGGACTGGATCATTCTACTCTGTAGGATTTTATCCTACTATTTCCATTAAGGCTTTTGTTCTTGTGCCAAAATATGAGCTTCTCTTTTTTCTCCTCCTTTTCCTGTTTTTGTTTCTCCTTTTTTCCATGGCTTTCTCTCCTTTTTTCTCCATTTTCAACTCAGTCTTCTGTCTTTCTTTCACTCATATTCATATTCTTTCAGCAGTGTCCTCCCCCTCCCTCTTTTCTCTTTTTTCTCCTCCTTCTCCTGTCTCCTGCACTCAATTGGGTTTTTTAAAATATTATTTAGTCTCCCGATTTATAATTTAGGTATCTATGTTGTGTGAGTGACCTGC